ATTTTTTCGCGACGCCATGAGTACCGCACCCGAAGAGCCCTGGCGCCAGACCACCCTATCACCATCGACAGGCGAGCACGAAATCCAGATCGCAAGCAGCAGTCAGCGCGAAAAAGCCGGGACCCCCTCCCCCCCGTCGCCCCCTTTCTCACGATTGACTGCTCGACACGCATTTTCCCCCCCCCCCCCCCCCCCTTCTGCTCACACAGAGCCCTAACTGACTCCGCTCCTCTTCTCAGGGTCTCATCCTCCTGACTGACTATTAACTGTTACTTTCAAACCTTTTTCTCCTTAAGCTCCGCCCACCTTCTCTTCTGCCTTGTCACCATGGCAACCTATCTCTCACAGCTAGGCCATGGCCACCCATGTAAAACATAAATACAGTTTAAACACAGTACAATAAACCCTTTATAATAAACACTTCTCTACAATGTCCAACTCTGTCACTCCTTTCCACCTGCTACTAAGGAGGCTGTCGAGGTCCTGAACCGGTGCCTGGCTGCTGTGATGGTCTGGATGAGGGCGAACAAATTGAAATTGAATCCAGACAAGACAGAGGTACTCCTGGTCAGTCGCAAGGCCGAACAGGGTATAGGGTTACAGCCTGTGTTGGATGGGGTCGCACTCCTTCTGAAGACACAGGTTCGCAGCTTGGGTGTGACCCTGGATTCGTCGCTGAGCCTGGAGCCCCAGGTCTCGGCGGTGACCAGGGGAGCATTTGCACAGCTCAGGCTCGTGCGCCAGCTGCGCCCGTACCTTGGGAAGTCTGACTTGGCCACGGTAGTCCACGCTCTTGTCACATCCCGCCTAGACTACTGCAACGCTCTCTACGTGGGGCTGCCCTTGAAGATGGCCCGGAAATTGCAACTAGTCCAACGCACGGCAGCCATGATTCTAACAGGAGCGGAGCGCAGGGAGCACACAACCCCCCTGTTGCACCAGCTCCACTGGCTGCCGATTTGCTACCGGGCCCAATTCAAGGTGTTGGTACTGGCCTATAAAGCCCTAAATGGTTCCGGCCCAAGATACCTATCTGACCGCATCTCGGCCTATGAACCCACCCGGACTTTGAGATCTTCCGGGGAGGCCCTGCTCTCGATCCCGCCGGCCTCTCAAGCACGGCTGGCGGGGACGAGGGATAGGGCCTTCTCGGTGGTGGCTCCTCGGCTGTGGAACGCCCTTCCTGTAGACGTTAGGCTGGCACCATCGCTCTTGACATTCCGTAGAAAGCTCAAGACCTGGATGTTTGTGCAGGCGTTTGAGTAATTCAGTGCAAGTGTGGTAATGTGAACATAGGAACGGAACAATGACGACGAATTTGGATCACGTTTGGATGATGAGGTAATTGGGGGATGGGACTTGTGATAATTGTGTATTGTTGATTGTTTATTTAGCTATTAATGGAACTGTGTAATTTAACTGTTTTGTATATTGATTATTGCTGTTTTTATTGTCTTTGCTGTTTGGAAACCGCTGTGAGTCGCCCTCGGGCTTGAGATACAGCGGTATACAAGAATAGTAAATAAATAAATAAATAAATAAATAAAAAGAAAACACAACCCTATAACCATGTATCTAGAATTCAGTTGCAGTGAGTTTAATTGTCACTTAAGGGAGTTGGGTACTTATTAAATAAACAGCTAGCAAAAAAGTACTTTGATCCTCATGATGGAAGTTCCTCTTCTGGTTTTCCAGATATTGTTGGAACACACGTAGTCATGGTAGGCAGTGATGAAGAATGATGGGAGTTCCAATCCAGCAAAATCTGGAAGGCTTCATTCACCTATCAATACCCATATGATTCCTTCTAACTCCAGCTAGAGTCTATGGGTGCATTCACACTGTAGAATTATTGCAGTCTGACATCACTTTAACTGCCACAATTCAATGTCATGGAATTATGGGGGATGTAGTTTGGTGAAGCACAGAGGTATTTGACAGAAATGGCTATAAACCTTGTAAGCCTACAGTTCCCATGATTCCACAGCACTGAGTCATGGCAGTTAAATTGGTGTCAACACAACATTATTTCTACAGTATTGATACATCCTACATCATAACTGACTTTGCCGGTATAATCCTTTGACAACAAAATCATAATAGCACAATATGAAAGTTCACATTACATAACCAAACAACACATGTGGAAATTGTGTCATGCTGTTTGTTCTGAATATAACTCACTTCTTGGAAAAAGCCATGTTGTGAAGGGAAAAACTATACATATGGTGCAAACAGTGAAGATGCTTTTCATTTTTCCTTCGTCTTTCAAATGTTTCATTCTATCAATAAAAAGAGATTATTATATGTCAGTCTTGTCTTCACATTTGGTTTGAAAACCTTTGAAAAACTCCTAATGATCTTTTTCATGAAGCAGTTTACATGTGTTTTAGTTGTACTGATTTCATTGCTAATTTTCAAAGCAATATGAATGGGTTCCTGAATTAGTAAGCTCAACAAATATCCCATTTATACAGAAATTAAAAAATAATAGAATTCAGCATATAACTGTATAAACTTGTTAAACGAACAATATTATATGAGTTTTTGTACAGTCATTCTGAAATGGTATCAATGCCGTGTCTTCTTATGTTGAGTTGAATATGAATCAGCTGCCCACAGCTGGTTTCAGTCTTAGTCCAGGCCTTCCTCTGGTGGTCTAAAATTATAACAAGTTTATACAATTATACGCTGAATTCTATTAATTTTCAAAGCAGAACATTTACAATCCTAAAATTATTACCACTCTTTTTCTTTTAATTTAGTTTTTAAAACTATATTAGAAATGGCTAAGTACCTCATCACATGGAAGTCCCAAATGTGGGCAACAGCAGGGGGAGTGGTTGATTTGCTGGGTAGCATGACATCTGTGTGGCAGTGGGGGAAACCATCACCCACACCCCACAGTACCACTTTCCCCATCACATGGCGTTGCTGCCCCACCCTGGCTCCTTTCTAAGCAATGAGAAAATGGGAAACTTCCTGTGTTCTCTGGGCTCTGCCCTAGGATGCTTCCAGGATGGAGCCAGGAAAGAGCCCCGCCGGAAGTAGCCCTGTGTTATGTGAAGGGCTCAGGCAGTTCCCGGAGCCAAAGGATAATGTGATGAGGTTCAAAGTCAAATATTTATGCAAAATATATTGAAGATGCTAAGGACATATCAATAAACGAGAGTTGGAGTGCAAGTTTTCTGTTCAAATTAGGCTGCTGTACAGAACTCTTTGGACATTTCATTCATGTGTTCCGATAGCCTCCACTTCATTCTCCTGTTATTTTGTACAATAACATCTTAAACATAAATATGTAATATTTATGTTTGGCTTGTAAATTAAGAGCCAGCATTGTTCAGTGGTCTGAGAATTGACTAGAATGCAGGGAGATCACGATTTGAATCTCGACTTGTCCAGGGAAATCTGCTTAATAACCTGGGCAAGTCATCCTTTCTCAGCTTCAGAGAATGATAAAGAAATCTTGATGAGAAAACTCCTACAGGCTTTGCTGTATTATTGCCAACAATTGGAAATGATTTCAAAGCAAATACTTAAGTATGTGTCTGTATGTAGTTCCATAAAGCTAGGCAATGCTTGTTACGTGCCTTCAAGGCCCAATCTACATTGCCATTATAATGCAGATTGAACTGCATTACATGGGTCTATACTGAGGCTCCCTCTACACTGCCATATGAAATCCAGATTATCTGATTTGAACTAGATTATATGGCAATGTAGATGGGGCCAAACTGAATCTCCAACTTATAGTAAACCTATCCTTGGGATTTCTTGTCAAGATTGATTCAGAGGAGGTATGCTATTGCCTAAGATCCTATCCATCTTGGAGGCTAAGCATAGTAAGGTCTGTTAGTACTTGGATGGCAGACTGCCAATGAATACCTGGTTACATAAGTTATATTTCAGAGGAAGGGACTAGCAAAACTTTTCCTTGGTTAAGAAAACCCTTTGAAATTCATGGAGTTGCTAAAAGTCATCAGGCTTTGAGGTAAACATGCATGCACACACACAAAAGCCACTGTCTTCCTCTTGGACTTGGAACGTGTGACCTGTCCAAGATAAACCCTGGTTTCCTGGAAGCCTTTATAACCCTGGCTGTCTCATAATTTACAGCGGAGTGTTTAGAATTCAAGCATTATTCAAGACCCACCACACAAATTCGCATTTTCTTATGTTGGTTTAGTTCAGAGCTTTCCAAACATTTCATGTGGTGACACACTTTTTAGACATGCATCATTTTACAACACAGTAATTCAGTTTTACTAGCAAACCGGAGGTTAAACCAAACCCTTATAAGGGATATAAACACATATATAAATCGCAATAACAAAATATATGGAGAACAACAAAATCTCATGAAAAACTTACATTTTTTTTTAAAAAAATGTGATTGGTAAGACAGTAACATACATTTCCAAGATTTTTGACATGTCTTGTTACATTTGTGCAACACACCTATACAATTCAGCTGACACAGTAAAATGTTGTGGCACACAGTCTGGAAAAATCTGGTTGTCAGATTTCATCCATTAAAGCAGTGGTTTCCAACCATTTTTTGACCAGGGACCACTTTGACCAGGGGCCACTCTCCAACATTAGTACCAAAAGGGTTACAAATCAGTTTTTGGGCAACTTTAAATTTGGTTTGGTTATTTGGGGTGCTGATTCACAAAATTGCATTGGATAGACCACATCAGGTCTAGTTTTTGATACAGAACATATCCAGTAGTCACCACCTGCTCACCCACAGGAAACCATATTTAATAATATAGAACTGATGTGGTAGTAATCTTTCATGGGTAGTCAGCCTCTGCCCTCCTGACTTCCTCATTGCCTCACCACTATAAGAGGGTTTCGCAAGACCAGTTACTCTCGTTGCCACATGGTTTCGATACAACAACAACAACAACAAAATGTATTTGTATTCTGCCCTATCTCCCCAAGGGGACTCAGGGTGGATTCCAGCATAACAATGGCAAAAATTCAATACCTACATAAAACACATGATACTAACATAAAATTCCAGGAAAACCCCACATATAAAAGCAGCATTAAAACCTAACATCAAATTAAAAACCTAACATCAGTAAATTAAACCTAAACAATGTATTAATGGTGAGTCTGCGGACCATATTTTCATTCTTGCAGACCATTGGTGGCCCATGGACCACAGGTTGGGAACCACTGCATTAACATGACCAAACAAAACAGCAGAGAATTTTTTTTAAAAAAATCATGGAAAACTCTCTCAATCTAGTACAAAATTTTGAAGAATTCATTAATTCTAACTGATGCATTAAAACAAATCACTGCAATGCTGGGTTTAACCATAGAAACAAAAGTAATGTTTTTCTGTGATCAGCATGCATATCTAACAATAAATAGGAGCTCTGATTTTTTTTCTTGGCAAAAAAGTTTTTTTTCCTTTTCAATAACCAGTTATAACAGTAATTTTGAATAATATTCAAAATATTCTGTTTTAATTATTGTATTAAAACAGAAGAAATCTATATAAAAGGGTAACCAAAGTAAGACACAATTTACAGCCCTCACTAAGAGAAGCCAAGGAACTGTTCTTTATCTACATAATTGATTAGGAAGCTTGAATGCACCTTTAAAGAGCCTGAGTGCCCTGAAGTAAAATGCAAGGGGGAAATAGAATTTTGAAATAAAGACAATGTTGACACAGACCTGGAGACTGCTTCTGAATGGTTAAGGACAGTCTCTGAAACAACTTTTCCCAACATTAAGGTGACCCTTGCCCTTCTTTACAATTAAGGGGGGCTTTGTGACTTTAAGCAAGCTCAGTAGCAGTTATTGCATCCTGATTTAATGAAGATTTAAAATCTTGCCCAAATTAATGGCAGTATTAAGGGCTTTGTGGCTTCACACAATTTCTGGTCCTTCTTAGACAATCACAAATGGCACTCACTGCACACAATGTCAACATCAACCTTTATCATGTAATGTAATTTGACAGAGAAGCTAGCTTGTTGAACAGGCAGTGAGTCAGATGTGCTCCAGATAAGAGCATGAAACCCACCACTCCCCTTGACTTTGTAGTTCTCTAATCATCCTAAGTAAAGAAGACTTGTGAATCTCTCTGGCAGGAAGCAGCTGATGGCACAGTAGCCTAGCCCCATAGTGTGGGCCATCTCTGCCCCAGCTTCATTATTATCATCATAACAAAGCCAGGGCTTCCCTCTCCCCTCCCTCACATCTCAGCTTGATCTGGAGTCTTCAGAAATTCTCCTTCATACTGTAACATTTGTGCCTCTCTTCCAGACAGAGAACAAATAGGAGAACTCACCCTTCTCCACCAACCCCCCATCCCTGCCCCTCTTTAAAGCCCTCTGGGGATATGGAGGGATGGGAAAGAAGAGATGCAAACCTGATGAAGATTATCTGTTGAGGTCACCACCTGCTGGGTTTGGGATGGCTCCCCATGCCTCTTCTGCACTTCAGAAAGCCAAGAGAGCAGCAACTGCAGGGAGGAAATGAGGGGAAAGAGGAGGAAATCTTCAATGATATTTCAAGAAATTCTCAGACAGAGGGAAAAAAGAAAACAACCCAAACAAGTAACAGAAATCATCATAGATAAGATCCATTTCCCCTTTTTGTTTTGATCTATCAAAGGTTAACTGGGCTACTCATCAGAATGGTTCAGTGTTGTTTATTGCAGCACTGGAAAGCAACACAGGTTAGGACAAATTTAATTGTGTCTTTGGCTAATTAATATCCCTACCATTCTGCCCAAACATTTGCCCAAGGAGGTTAAGCATAATAAAATATATTTTAAAACAACAGCTTCATAAATAAAGGAAAGATAACTAAAAATAAAATACACTCTGTTCCTCTTAATAGTAGTTAGTTTGCATGGCAAACTATTACATGAACACAAATGTTGTCGCTTGCTGGCAGATGGACAACAAAGAAGTTGAAAACTGAGCCGTTCTCACCAGAAAGTGCCATAGTCAAGGAGCAGCCACCAAGAAGGCTCTCCTGTTCTTTATATCCAAGAGTTGTTGGACTTACAAAATAACTCTAATAAAATCTTAAAGTCTGATCAGATTGCAATACAGGGCAACTCCTATATCTACAGGAGATGGACTGCTTGAATATGTGAAAGCACATATTGAAATATATCAGAGAGGACCGAGAAAATGCTTAGAGAGGACATATTGATTCTGGGGTCATACTGCATTTCAAACAGCCTGCTTTGATTACTTATTAGGCCATAACCAACACTTTGAATTGTATTTGCCTCAAAACAGACTGGTACCCAGTGATGTTATTGTAAAGAAGCAGTTGTATACACTGTACAAGCTCCCCTGCTGCACACAATTAACAAGCTGTGTACAGCATATGAATAATGGAGTCCAGAAATATAGATGAAATTAAATAATTGTGGCATGAAACAATAACAGTAAACCATCTGTCTTCCAGAAGCATATTTAGGAGTACACAACAGTATGTCAATTTGTGTGTTGTTTTTTTCTGGGATTTTAAAAATATGACACAGTGACTGTCTCTGGCAGCACCAACAAAGACCATCCATGACATTAAAACTTATTGGCCATAACAGAATTTATTGATGACATAAGGGCACATCCATACAATCAACAAAATCCAGAGGTGTTCCAAAGTATTGCTGTTTTGGACTGGCTCCGGATTCTGCCTTGGTGTTCACATTTCTTTGCTCCTGAATGAAGTTAGCAGTTGGTACAGAGTTCTCACTGTCTAGGTCAGCCCCACTGGAGAGACACTCTTATCTGTGTGATTGTTTGTCACTATAGCGGTGGCCTAAAAACTCTAGAGAGCCCGTGACCATTGCTTGGTGCTTTTACCAAAGTAGCCAAGGGCACAGCATGACTTGGAAAGTGGGGGGGGGGGGGGGGGGGGTAGTGGAAATGAGATGATTCCCCTCCAGTCTCTGGCACAGGTAAGTGACACTCAGGGCAAGCAGGATGGTGGCACCGGGATGATTGAACAGTGGGGCCAATTCTGAATTCAAATTGGCCCCACTGTTCACACTGACAAACTCTGAAGTACAAAGTGTGGGGAAGATCTGGAGCTTTTCCCAATTTTGCCTAAGCAGCTGTGCACCACCTCTCTGAGTCATATGTAAACATTATGGAGCCAGGTCAGTGTATATGTCTCATGTAGGTGCCCTTCATTCATTATATCCTAAATGTATGTTTCATACTTTCAAGTGAAGGTGTTGTTATTTTACAATTGGCTTTAATCTATTGTTAGTAATTAGACTGAGCTTAATACACCATTTTGTTAAACATGGGAGTGATGAGTTCCAAGACAACAGGATAAGCTAATTAGTGTCTTGAAGGAAATGGAAAATACTGGGCCATTCAGCAAAGAAGGGTCAAGGCATGCATTAGGCAAGTAATGCTTGTCAGAAGCATGTTTGATGTGGCCACTTTCATTTTGAAAGAGAAGCATTCATTAGACCTTCATCAAGTGTCATGCTTCTGGTCCAGACTTGGGTCTCCCACCAATCTCTAATCATTTCATGCCCTTCAGATATTTCACAGATTAAAACTGTAACACTGGCAAAAGTTATTAATGAGGAAAAATGCACAAGTTTGACAAGATTGCTGCAATTTACTTTTGTCAGACCCTTCTGGGAAGAATATGGCTCTACCCTTCCTCTCCTCTCCCTCCTGCTGAGTTAATTGACTGCAAACTACTTTTGCACTTTGAACTCAGTTTGCAGCAACTGAAGTAAACTGATAACAAAGGGATGAATACAGAGAAAAAAACAGTACATTTCAAAAGCAGTTGAAAAAGTGAGTGGGCAGAGGATTATTTAAGATTGTCTCTGTCAGATTGGGACAGTTGCAGATTATGCCATTAGTTGGTGCTGATGTACAATGTCTGCATCATTAAAGGCAGTATGACAGGCCTATCATGAGTCCAACAATAATGACTGGCCAACACACATTATGGTGCCTTAAGTTGTGTTTTTAGATATATTTGACCTGCTGATTCCAAGAATGACATGTTATCAAGTCTAGTTTTTGAGAGAAGATATGATATACGCCAGTCACTATCTGCTCACCCATAGGAAACTATGATAATTATATCTAAGAAATAATAGTGCAATTTATCCAATATAATTTTCTGAATCAGTGCCCCAAATAACCCAGGAACAGGCTTAAAACCAAGACACCAAGAATGCATTTTCCTTTGGGCTGTGTTATTTGTTCTACGCCATGAGCCAACATGGTGCAATGTGGTTTAAGCATTAGACCGAGACCCTGGAGACTGGCTTGAATCCTCACTTGGCCACAGGAACCCTCTTTCCTTTTGTATTGTCAAAGGCTTCCATGGCTGGAATCACTGGAATGTTGTGTGGTTTCTGGACTGTGTTCTAGCAGCATTTTCTCCAGGCGTTTCATCTGTATCTGTGGCTGGCATTTTCAGAAGATTGTATGAAGATGCCAGCCACAGATGCAGATTTTTATTAATGTCAGGAGTGACTTGAGAAACTGCAAGTCACTTCTGGTGTGAGAGAATTGGCCAACTGCAAAGACATTGCCCAGGGGACACCTAGATATTTTACCATCCTGTGGAAGACTTCTCTCATGACCCTGAATGAGGAGCTGGAGCTGACAGATAGGAGCTCCCCTTGCTCCCTGGATTTAAACCACCAACCTTTTGGTCAGCCATCCTGCCGGCACAAGGGTTTAACCCGTTGCGCCACCACAGGCTCCACAGATGCAGATGAAATGTCAGGAGAAAATGCACAATTCACAACAGGTACTGTAGTCTCAGGAAATCTAACTATGAATTTCCTACCTTATTTATGACTCCAACTTTAGTTCCAACATTGAATTAATAGAACTGTTCCAACTTTAGTTCCAACATTGCACAAATGTAACTGTAGACAATGTTAGTTTCTGCTCAGGAAAATTGTTGGTACAAATTTTCCTTCAATCTTTTCTCTAGCTAAATTTTGAAGGAGAAAGGGGAAAATGTTTCAATATCTATACCTGAACGTATTCTGTTGTGACTGTTTCCTCAACTCCGGCCATCGACTGTCCTAAGTGGCTAGTATCTTAATGTACCTGAGACAGCTATTTTAAAAAGGAAGTGGTCAAAGCCATTCTTTTTCTTTCTTTTTGGGTCGACTTCAAAGGTGATTTCGCTCTGTGCCCTTCCTCCTCTTTATGTTTTACTGTCTGTGCTTCTGCAGCTGTCAGCTTCCCCTCAGTTTCATGGCGTCAAACCTGCCTCCTCATGGTCCATAAAGTTACAGCAGCAGGGATCATGGTATTCAGGTGTGGAAAAGGGAAAAGGCTCAGGATGAGGTGGTTAATGATTTTTCTGACACCTCATGCTGTGTCATAGAAGACCACCTCCCTTTGTTTGGAAATATATTCAGGCATACATTGCCTCTCTCCTGTGCAAAGGTGTTGGTTTTTCATGTCAAAGGCTGTTTGCTGAAATGATTCACCTTACATAGCTTCTAAAAATGCTTTGCAGCTCTAATTAGATATTGAAGTGGAGTCACTCGGCAGCAAGGGCTTTACTTTCTATTTAACTTCACCATGCAAAGTTTTATTCAGTAAAAATACCAATTTTAAACTGGCTCTTAAATAAAGGAATTAATAGAAAGTAGGGGGAAAATTCTGCTAAAGGAAGAGAAAGCAAGAAAAACCTCTGCTGCAAGCGTAAGCCACCTTGTCCATGTCTTGGCCAAAGTTAACAATCATAGAATTAGAAGTGCTTGCAAGGGCCATTTAGTCCCGTCCACTGCTATGCAGGGATTTTGATTTAGTTATGGTGAAGGTTGTAAATTGTAAGCATTCTTGCTAGGGAGTAAATAGTGTTGCACATAAGAGGAGTTGCTTTTCAAGTAACCATGCACAGGATTATATATTTGTCTCATTGGAAAACTTGAATCATGGCTAAGAAGATCTAAGGTAAAGGGAAAGGTTTCCCCTGACATTAAGTCTAGTTGAGTCCAACTCTGGGAGGTGGTGCTCATCTCCATTTCTAAGCCAAAGAGCCAGTGTTGTCCACAGACACCTCCTAGGTTATGTGGCTGGCATGACTGCATGGAGGACCATTACCTTCCAGCAGAAGCGGTACCTATTGATCTATTCACATTTGCATGTTTTCCAACTACTAGGTTGGCAGAAGCTGGGGCTAACAGCGGGAGCTCACACCACTCCCTGGATTCAAGCTGCCAACGTTTCGGACAGCAAGTTCAGCAGCTCAGTGGTTTAACCCGCTGCACTACCAGGGGGTCCCAACAAGGCCTACAACTGTCAATGAAATTTAGTACCAGGCTGGAGGTTCTTCATTTTTATTTATAGCAAGAAAATTCAGAAAGGTGGTATGTATAAAAGTTATAATACCAGCAACAATATCTACTAACTGCTTTGATTGGGTAGCAGACATAACTATGTTACTCATGTAATTTTTTGTGAGCAGGCACTCCTCAATCAAGCTGGACTCCAA